GGGGGGCCTGGCGCTGGGGCTGCACCCCGGGGGCGCGCAGGGCGGCGCGGGCCTCCCGGCGCAGGCGGCGCTCTACAGCCACCCGGTCTACGGCTACTCGGCGGCGGCGGCGGCGGCCGCACTCGCGGGCCAGCACCCGGCGCTGTCCTACTCGTACCCGCAGGTGCAGGGCGCGCACCCCGCGCACCCCGCCGACCCCATCAAGCTGGGCGCCGGCACCTTCCAGCTGGACCAGTGGCTGCGCGCGTCCACCGCGGGCATGATCCTGCCCAAGATGCCCGACTTCAACTGTGAGTACCCACGCGGCCCCCGGGCGGGTGCGGGAGGACGGCCGCGGTTCTCTCGCGCATCCCCGTCCACCCGGCACCTCCTTCCCTCTGCTCTCGGCTCCTCGCAGAGCGAGCTGTGGAAGCGCTGCGAGCCGCCCCGGCTCTGCCCGCGGCCTGCGAGGACTCGCACGGGCTCCGCGGGAGAGACTGGCGGCGAATTATTAAAATGGCCACGCGCGGGCCTTGCTTCTCTTCCTCTCTGAAGGGGAAGGGGCAGTTGGAGGTGTGAGACTGGAATCTAATGATTAACCTGCGGGCTAGAGGAGGAAGTGGCGGGGGAAGGCGAGCTGAGGAGCGCCCTGCATTAGCCCGGCCTGGGAATGGGGGTGTGCGTCTCAGACACCAGGGGCTTATCACCGGGAAAGGAACTTGGCTCGGTCCCCCATTCTGACCTCTAGAGAGACCCCCGTCCGCTCCCGGGAAAGGGAGAGTTCCGGGAGCAGCGAACTAGAGAAACAGGCTTCGGGAGGCCCAGGGCTGCAAGGCCAGGGCCCAGGCGGACCTGCAGTGGCCCTTGCTGGGGCGCCACCCTCCCCTGGAAGGGCTCTGGGTCCCGGGCGCGATGTCCGAGAAGGAGATGGCCTGGCCTGAACTAAGCAGTGCAAGGACTCTAAGCAGCAGGTGCCCCTCCCCTGAATCCATGGTGCCCGACAGGGTATCAGCTTCCTCCCCCAGGTGGGGGTGAGGCAGGCCCAGTTACCCCCCATCCAAGAGCCGCTAGGCTTGGGAGGAGGGCTTCCTCCTCACCCAGGCTGGACACCTCCCCGGAGGCCTGGGCCCACGCTGGCTTTCCTGGCACGCACGGACACAGGGGCTGGTGCTCCAGGCCTGGCTCTCCCAGCTCGCCCCACCCGGGTCAGCTACCTTTGAGTCAGGCCAGAGTAGAAGATGTATAGGGCTTTACACTTCCAGCCGCGAACACCCAAACAAAGAGGCCCCATTGTTTCTGTCTGAGTGGATTTGTTTAGACTGGGGAAATGCAGGCAGGGAAGGGAAAAAGCAAAAAAGAAAACAGAAGTAAACAGTCCAGAATTCAGATTCCTCTGCTAGAAGCCACGGTTGTGACTAAACAGAGAAAAGCTAGGACCCTAGAGGCTGGAGAAGTCACAAGAGGGTGAGAAAAATCCCAGCATGCTCACTGTTTGCCCACAGCCACCCCGGGCTTTTCCCAGCTTGGCCCCAAGAAGGCCCTAATGGCCACCCATCCCTTCCGTTGGAGAGTCAGCTCCTACTGGCTCCCAGCAAGAGGAGGCAAACTCCCAAACACCTCTGTTTGGGGGCAGTAGCCCCAGACATTTCTGCTAACCCCCTGTCAGCCACTTAAACCCGGGGCACCCTTCTGGGCCCCTTCTGATAGAAAGCCACCACACGGATTTTCCAACATGACCTGCATTTCCCAGACCTGGGGCACTTAGTCGCCCACCCTGGGGCGGGTGGTCTCCACACAAGCCTTCTAGGGCTCCACAGCCACCAGGGTGATTTCTGGGATCTTCACAGAGCCCAAGGTCACTTGGAAAATAGATTAAAGAGGGATACCTTTGCCAACACACCTGCCCACCTCTGATTCCTCATCTTGACCTAGATGTGGCCACATTAAAAACAGCCAGCTCTGAGTTGGGAAAAAGAATCTGAACAGCACAGCCCTGAAGGGCGACGGTAGGCAGGACGGCGGAATGTGTCCCCAGCTCTCCTTTCTGGCCACTGGAAAACCTGTTTGGTTTCCTTTAATTGGTTGTCTCTGCGTGTTGGATGGCATTTCCCAAATGGTCCCTTCGGAGCCAGCGTTTTAATTAAAGTTCTAATGTATTGTCAAGTTGGGAATTCGGGGCCTTGTTTAACTAAAGCAGGGGGCGTGGGCCTTCCCATAAAGCAAATTGCCCATCCCGGGGGACCTGAGCTCATCCAGGCCCGGCTGGCCTCTTTTCTTTCCTTTGCTTTCTTTCTTTTATTGTCTAACACTTGTCAGGCTCCTGGGAAATCAAGGGAAGTCTCGTTTTGAGGTCATAAAATTCTCTGTGATGTAACCGTGCGAAATTATGTAAATAAAGCCGGACAAGGCCTCCTTGAACACACAGAAAGCCAGATCCGCCTCTGCCTCTGCCTTTCATTTTCGTAATGAGAATTGGCCTGAAAAGGCTCCCAGCCTCCCCAGGCTTTGCCTGTTCCCTGAGGAGGAGGCTTGTCAAGAAAAAGAATTTGAGAGTGGGAGAGCCCCTGATTAATACACATATTTAGGCCCCAGATTTGGTTCTTGCCCTCTCTCCCTTCCTCTTGTGTTTGTTTTTCTCCTCCTCCTCCTCCTCTGTTCTAAGGAGGTGGTGGTGGGGCTCCTGACCCACAGGACCAGTTCTTCCCCACCCCAGTTGGGATCTGAACCCAAATCCTGGAAGGTGCAGCGAGGAGGGGGAGGGGCTTTGGCTCCTCTGGGCACTGCTCCTCCTGCCTCTGGGCCAACCTCTTCCTACCAGTGCTGGCCCAGGTGGAGAGGGCCCGCCCAGGTGACAGGCCCCCTTTAATGGGGACACTCAGAGGCTGTCCCAGACAAAAAGACTTGATCCCATGAAACCCAAACTGCTCAGTTCCACTCTGGGTCCTGAGTCCCCTGTTCCTTGGGCAGCGGGTGCGGATGCTGAGGGAAGAGCCCCGCTCTGCAGCCGTGGGCTTTGGGGAAGTGGTGTGGGCAGCATGGGGGAGAGGGGGCTGCGGACCTCACTGCCCTTTCCGCACCGCAGCCCAGGCGCAGTCGAACCTCCTGGGGAAGTGCCGCCGGCCGCGCACGGCCTTCACCAGCCAGCAGCTGCTGGAGCTGGAGCACCAGTTCAAGCTCAACAAGTATCTGTCTCGGCCCAAGCGCTTCGAGGTGGCCACCTCGCTCATGCTCACGGAGACCCAGGTGCGCGTTTCCCCCCGCCGCCCCCAGGGCCTCTTGGCCTTCCCCGAGACACTGTCACCTCTGCACTCTTGAGCCGCCGCTGTCTTGGGCATCTGGATCTGCGCCTGGACGGTCCACCTGGCCGGCGCAAGGGTTCATATGCCTGAGCCCAGCGGTCTGGTTCATAGTTTGGGGTGGGGCCCCCCGCATTTAACCACCATTCCCTTCGTTCTGAAGAAGGTGGTGCCCAGGCCACATTCGAGAAATTTTGCTCCAGAAAGAGATGAGGGAACATCCTGAATTTCCCAGAGATGTACCCTGCTGTTTTGGGCCTCCAGCCGCACACCGAGGCCGCGGGTAGAAAGTCAATGGCCAGGGGCGTTGGGACAGTCCAAACCTCCTTGGAGCCCCCAGCCCAGTTCTGGGGTTTGCTGACCAGTAGGGGTGGGGAGGAAAGGAAGCCACCAGCCCCTCCCCGGCACCTAAGTCCTCCCATCTCAAGTCCGCCCGCGGGTCCGGGAGGCGAAGGCGGGGTCCCGGTGCACGCAGCTGGGCAGCAGGAGGTGGGAGCCCAGGGCGGAGATGGCCGCTTTCTCACGCCCGCTCGTGCCTGCAGGTGAAGATCTGGTTCCAGAACCGGCGGATGAAATGGAAACGCAGCAAAAAAGCCAAGGAGCAGGCGGCGCAGGAGGCGGAGAAGCAGAAAGGCGGCGGCGGGGGCGCGGGGCAGGGCGGCGGCGCGGAGGAGCCGGGCGCGCAGGAGCTGCTCGGGCCGCCTGCGGCCGGGGACAAGGCCGGCGGACGCCGCCTGCGGGACTTGAGGGACAGCGACCCCGAGGAGGACGAGGACGAGGACGACGAGGACCATTTCCCCTACAGCAACGGCGCCGGCGCCCGCGCCGCGTCCTCCGACTGCTCCTCCGAGGACGACTCGCCGCCCCCGCGGCCCGGCGGGCCCGGGCGCCAGCCCCCGCCGCAGTAGGAGCCCGCGGCCGGCAGGTGCGGCGCTGCGAGCGGCCTCGGCCCGAGGCTTCGGAGCCCCTGCGCCCGCACCCACCGCCCCGGCCCGGCCTGCGAGCGCGGCCCTGCGCCTCCCCGACCGCGCGCCGCGCCCGGAGCTAGGGGCCTCGGCCCCGGGTCCTGGGCGTCCCCTTTGGGCCGCAGCGCTCGTCCGCCCTTCCGCAACAGCGAGAGGGACACAGCGGGCTCGAACTTGAACTCTAGTCCTTTTAAAATCAAATTTCGTCGGGGAGGTGCCTGTGAGAAGCACCGACTTCTCCCGGGGAGGCCTCGCCTCGCCTCGTCCCTCACCAGAGAAGGCGGAAACCCACAGTGTTAAATGACCTCTGAAACTTGAAACCGCCTCTGGAAACGCCGTTCCGCTGAGCATTGAAAACAGAGAAAAGGTTTTATGCTTATATATCTTAGGGGGAAGAACTTACGTCATGAGCATTCAGACTGCTGGAAATCTCAGAACTGTACTGCCTTTATTTTTGTATATTGTATTTATATATAAAAGAAACGTCTACGTATGCATGCTAAATTATTTAGCTTCTCCCATCGCCCACGATGGAATGTAAAATAAATTGGTTTTTTACTGGATGAGAGTGAAAATCTTTTGGAGGGGGTGTTACGAAAGTGGGCTTCACTATTTTGGTTGCTGAAATGATGGGGAGCGTGTCCGTTCTGCGGTTGACACCCGAGGGTGAAAATCGGAATCGCAAATGAGTGTCAGGACCACCTCCAGGCCTGCTGCACGGACTCGCAGGTGTGAAACGTTAGTAAAAATACCTGAGGCCAGGTGTCAGCGCGTGCCTGGCGCCTGGCTCGCACCTGTCCCGGGACCAGTGACTCTCAGGAGAGTGACGGTGGACTCGGCGTGTTTATTTTCCAATTTCCTTGCGGGATCCTCGTGCTTCGCCGGCGCTCCAGAAGTGGAAATACAGCATTTGAACGTTCCACGAAAGAAGCTTCCAACGGTTAGACTGGAGTGGCATTTGCGGTGGCGAGACCGTGGGCCTACTCGCGCTCTTGCCCGGAAGACCGCCGAGCTGGGTGCCCCCCCTGTCGCCCGCCCGCGGCTGCAGGGGCTCTGCGCTAATAACCCCGGGCGGCGCGCGCCATCAATCACGCGGGCGCCGGGCGCGCCGAAGGCCCATGTGCTGCGCACATGCGGGCCCAGCCCGCGCCGCGCTCCCCGCTGCCCTTCCCGTCCCGGCCCGCGACTGCCCCTGGGCCCCGGAGACCGGGGGTCAGCGGACACCGCTCCTCCGCGGCTGGGTGCCTTCCTCCTTCCGGTGATTGTCACTCCCTCCCCAGCACCGCCACCCCCAGCTGATGAACGAGTTCAGAAGGGCCAGGCGTTTCATGTGGGTGATTACGGCCGCTCCTCTGCCTCGGGGCCGGGTGAGATTAATGTCCTCCCTTGCAGCTCGTTATCGCCCGCGGCTCCTTCCATAAACCCGGCGCAGCCAAGGTCGGGGCGCGGCGCTGGGCTGCGCAGAGGCGGCCGCGGGCGGGCAGCAGGGCCGGGCCGCCGCCCGCAGTCCAAAGGTGCTCGGCGGACCCGGGCCTGTGGCTGCGGCTGGTGCTTCAGCGGGAACCCGGAGGAAAGGGGGTGGCAAATCAGAGGGGAGGGAAGGAGAGAGGGAAGACAGACGCTTGGAGGTCTTTAAAAAAATGTGCAATCCGTACATCTCTCTCTCTAATTTCTAACACATTGAGGAGGGTCAGCCTGAACGGCTCTCTCCCCTGGCCGGTTGCACATCTGGGGGTTATTTCCCCTGAGCTCCGCCGGCCCAGCCTCGGCGCCCCCACCCCAAGCCTGGGCAGCCCGGGAGGGGGAGAGAGAGGGGGAGGCCCGGGCCCGGAGAGGGGCGCAACATCCGGCCTGGGGGCGCGGGGCGCCCGGGCCTCGGCCGAGCTCTGCTCCTGCAGCCCGAGGCGGGGACGCCGCTCGGGGTCGGGGAGGAGGGGCTCTGGGGACCTCCGCGCCGTCAGGCCGCCCTCCCCCAGCCCTACCGCCCAGCGAGGCGGTTCTGCCGGGACTCGCGCCGGGAAGCCCGGACGTGCGCGCGGCCCCTGCGTCTCCAGCCAGCCGCTCACTCGCGGCGGAATTTATCTCGTTAATAAATTTAATGATCAATTCGTTCTTGTCACAGCAGCTCTTCCCCAAATCAATTATAGCAAATTTAAATATAATCACTGGCTCATCCTCACCCACTCCGGGCACAGTGAACAATTCATTCCGCCTAATGAACGGCTGCAAGGCCCGCCCTGCCCGCCTCGTGGGGCGCGTCCCCCGCGCCGGGGCGCTGCACTTGGGGTCGCCGACTGGGCTCGACCTGGGGCAGGGGTCGCCCGCAGGGCCCGCGCCTCAAAATGCACTGAGCCTCCAGCGCGGGGGCACAAAGTCCTTGCAGCCCTAAGGACCCGGTTCTCAGGATCCAGAGCCAAGTCTACACAGTCGGACCCCAGAGGGAGGTCAAGCCATTGTTTGCAGGCAGGCCCCAGGCCTCCCCGTGGAGAAACACTTGCTGTACCGTCGTCATCCGGGCCGTGGATCTCTGTGCCCAAAAGTAAGCAGGCTGTGGGTGGAGACTCTGGCCGGGGCAGGTCACTGTGACCTAGCTGCTGGGTCCCCATCGAGGGTCTCCTCCTCCCAAAGCTGACTCTGTCGCCTAGAACCCCAGCAAGGCCCCCCTGCCCTAACGAGGGCTCCACCTCTTGGCACATTTTCTTCACACTAATGAGAGGTTCTCCTCCGCTCTCAGAAAGAGGGCCTTGCCCTGTGTGAGTTCTTCAGGGCGCGCAACAGTATGTGGATACAGCAGAAGACAGTCTGCACACGGCCTGCAGATGACAGCCCTCCGGACTCCTTTCCAGCCCCTCCTGGAGATCTGGCCAAAACGTGGGCGGCCAGAGAGAAGACGGGTTAGTAGGGGAGTCAGGAGAGTACACAAACAACCAGAAAATAGGGGCGATGGACCCGCGCCCCACCACCAGCTTTCCCCTACCCGGTCTCCAGACGGAAGTCAGCTTGGAGGGCCTGTCTTCCTGTGACACCTAAAGACAGACGACAAAGGCAAAAATAGACAAACGGGACTACATGGAACTGAGAAGCTGCTTCTGTGCACAAAGGATGCAATCTGCAGAGTGAGAGGCAACCTAGGAACGAGAGGAGATGTTTGCAAACCATGTATCTGACAGCAGGTTAATATCCAGAATATATAAAGAACTCCTACAACTCAAGAACAAACCAAAACAATCCAATTTTAAAATGGGCAAATGACTTGAATAGACATTTCTCTAAAGACACATAAATGGCAACAAGCATACAAAAAGATGCTCAACATCACTAATCATCAGGGAAATGCACATCGAAACCACAAATACCACCGCGCACCCATTAGGATGGATGAGATAAAACAAGGGAACAAACGCTGCAGACAGTGACCAGGGTCGGTGAGGACGTGGAGACTCTGGGGCCCTCGTGCACTGGTGGTGGGAACGAAAACGGTGCAGCAGTATGGAAAACAACATGGAAGTGCCTCAAAAAATTAAAACTAGAATCACCGCACGATCCAGCAGTCTCAGTTCCGGTATGTGTCCAAAAGGATCAAAAACAGGATCTTGAAGAGGGGCTTGCGCACACGTCCGTGGCAGCACTGTTCACAGTGGCCAAGAGGCGGGAGCCGCCTGTCCTTCGACACTCGAGGCACCAGCGAAGAGCGGTGTGTGCATACAGCCCAGTGCTACTCAGCCTTAAAACAAGGACATGCTTTCTCCTGGTACCACGTGGGCGGACCTTGAGGACAGCAGGCTAAATGAAATACGGCGGTCACAGAAAGACAGATCCTGCGGGATTCCACTTACATGAGGGTCAGTTCGGATGAGTCAAACTCCTGCGAACAGAAGGTGGAGCGGTGGTTGCTGGGGGCGTTTGGGGGCTCGGGACTCAGTGTTTATTTGGGACAGAGTTTCCGTGTGGGAAGATGAGAACGTTCTGGAGACCTGCTGCGTAACGATGCGCATAAGCTACCACTGCTGCATTGTATGCTTAAAAATGGTCAAGACGATTTTTAAAAACTTTCCTTTTCTCCCCTGTCTTCTTTCTTCCCTTCCTTCCTTTTTTCCCTGCTCCTTCTCCTCCTCTTTCCTGGCTCTGCACCTCTCCTCCCACGCCCTCCGCATCCCCTCCGCCATGCGGGGGACGCTCAGACCTGCGGGGACGTTCGGGAGCGCGGGGAGCGCCGCGCGGCTGCGGGGAGGGGCGGGCGCGGGCGGCCCCCCAGGCTCGGGCCTCTGACCCCCGGCCCGTGCCCCAGGGGAAGGCGGCGGTTCTGAGTCCCCGCCTCGGCCCGCGCTGGGGAGCGGCCGGGACGCGCGTGGAGGGGACCTGGGGGCGGGCGGCGCGGGGCGCGCGGAGGGTGTCCCCGCAGCCCCCCGTGTCAAAGTCCTGCGGCGCGCGGCGTCTCCCCCAATAAAACTAATCCCTGCGGAGGCGTGACCTCCACCAAGAATGCCGCAGTGTTCCGGGCTACAAGGGCAAGTATGTTTTTCAGATTTGGTTTTTATGGTCGGATTAAAGTTTATTTTCCATAATAGGGCACCTAATAAAATCCATGAAGCCGGTCGGGCCTCCAGCTGGTGGCCTCGTTTAACACTTTCACTTCGTAAATCTCTCTCCGGCCTGCCAGGTGTGTCCCAAACGGGACGCGGACGGGAAGCGCGGCGTCCCCGGCACGTCCAGCGCCGCGCTCGGCCCCCGCGGGCTCCCGCGCGCGAGCGGGGCACCTGCGGGGGCGGCCGGCCTGGGCGGGACGACCCCCGCGCCCCGGCCGGCCCCGCGCCGACCCTGCATTCCGCGGCGCGCACCTGGCGCCCCTCCCCAGAGTACACAGCCCGCCGTGGTCCCCGCGCCGCCGCAGGACAAAGCGTGCCCCGGCCGGCCGCCGCGCCGAGGGGCGGGGGCGCGGTTTA